TTCCAAAATTCACACTTGAATTAGAAGGTATATCAAATCAACGAGTTAGGTTCCGAAAATTTTACATAAAATTCACCTCCCATTTTTAAGAAAACTCACCAAGTTTCAGCTTCAAACTCATTATACATAACTTTATAAAATTCAAACAAGTTTTTCTATAAAAACAAGTTTAAATAAAAAACACATGATAATGGATGATTCAGGCTATGACATTTTTATCTAAAAAACTAAAGCATGTGATCAGTAACACATAAATTTATCAGCCTTAAACACTCAGTACGTGAATTTACAAAAATAAAACAACACTCAGCCATGTATCAAATTTATATCAAAACTGAACTTAACTGAACTCCGAAAATTCTAAACTTTTTACAGCATGCTCCACATCACATAGTCAGCATCTCGACCAAGAATCAGAATTTTTCAGCTTCGGACCAAGTTATCACAATTAAAACAAATTTGAGCAGAAACACCAATTAAATTATTAACTCTATGAAACCTAGTCTAAAAATTCTAAAACTTTTACACAACACATAAATATACCAGAGACATGTCATAATCGAAATTCAGACAAAATGGAGCATCACAAAATTATTTATGCATTTTACAAGAAATTGAACAGAAATCAAATTAATTTTTAAAAATAGCTAAAGACCTTTAAAAATCACGAAACCTTTATACAAGCTACATATTCATCAAAAACAGCTGCACCTAAAATTTGAAGACAATCCGACCAGTATTCAATTTATGGTGAATTTTTCATTCCAAACAACAATTATAACTTTCGAAAAATCATAACTACCAATTTACAAGTCCAATCGACACAAGGTCAGCGCCATTGTGTTTGAAATAACCTTAAGTTCCTAAATCGACAGCAACTAATCACTTATATTCGGTTCTCGTTCGATTTGCACGAATCGACGAGTTTTACATAGAATCACGACGATATATATACAACGAACAATTTCAAACACATATATTATAATTCAATGAACACGTAAAGCACAACCGATCACAACATTAATTACGAAAGAATAAACGACAAGTCGAGAATCGATACCGTTCTCGCGAAACGCTCAAAAACGGACTAGAGAGGGGGGACGACGGCATCTCATGGCGGCGCTCGTGAACTCGAACGGCCAAATCGCTCGTCGAAGAACTCCCGGCAAGGGGCTGTTATAAGAAAAAAATGAGCCGACGAGGGCCGACGGGGGTGACGCTGCTGTTCGGGCGGCTGAACGAGCGCCGACGGGGTGCCGCTGCTCTTCCCGCACGGGCCCGAAGGGCTGCCCGCTGCTGTTTCGGGCTCCCCTTGCGCGTACAGGCCGCTCGAAAAGAAACCAGCAAGGAGTTGTTGCGGCTTGCTGAAAATTACGGGCTACACGAAGGTCGCCGTTGCTGTTCGAGAAGGGGGCTGAGAGTGGTTCTCGTCGTGAACGGGCCCGACTGCCATGGCTTCTTTGTTTCTGCGAACAAGGGCGCTCAAGACGATGGGAGTTCGGTTGCTGGTCGCGTGTGGTGGAGGACGGGATCTCTTGAAGAAGCCGCGTGGCTGAGATGGTGGCTTCGACGTGAACTGGCAGCATGGAGTTCTCTTCTCCGGCAGGCTCGAGTCACTGCGGGGACTTGCTGCTCGCCATGGGCGGTTGCTGCTCGAGGGTCATCTGAGGGAGATGCTAAACGGACGAATTCTTGATGTGGCTATCATACTGAGGCCGCACCTCCGGCGATGGCGATGAGCTTCTCGGCGATGGAAAATCGCGGCTGGGATTCTGGGCGGCGAATTGACAGTGAGGGAGAGATTGATTGAGAGAAAGAGACAGAAGATTGCGAGAGAGAAAAGATGGGTTATCGAGAGAGAGAGAGAGAGAGATCGATGACTGCTGAGCGATGAGATTTTTCTTTATCTGCGCAACGTGAGAGAAACGAAAGAGAAAGAGATAGCGGCGCTTGTGTTGACGGGAATGAGAAAAAAAAGATTGAGCTGCTAAGAGCATCTCCAATGGAAAATGATCAATTTTGTGTTGTATGACATGGAGAATGAAAACTAAAAAATTATGTCTCCAATGGTTGATGTTAATTGTGGTATCATTTGTGATGTGTAAAATTTTAATTGGTTGAAAAAGATAAATAAATTAAATAAATATGTTAATATACAATGGAAGTTGTCTAGAAAGGCTTCTACATCTAGAAAGCCTTCTAGAATTTTTTCAAGCCACATAAGATTATTTGTGACATGTGGCAACAATATAGAGAAATAGAATGACCATTGGAGATGCTCTAAGGGTTTGCAAACGGGAGCCTTAACATCTATTGGGCTGAGCAAGTAATGTGCCCTTTTTTTTCTATTCTTTTCAGTTGGGCTGGTTCGCGACATTAATCCGACTCACGGGCTCGGATTCGATACAAACGAATATTCTCAGGCCCAACTTCGATTCAAACGCACGATAAAATAAATCGAACAATATATATATTTACACTTATATATTAATGCACATTATTCACATTTAATAATTAATCACAAAGATAAATTAGACATTAGACAATTATCAATTAATCACATTTGGGCAAACAATAATATCACATAAATAATAATAATAAATAATAATAATAATAATAATAATAACATTAATAAAAATAATAAAAATATTCTCAAATAATCCACAAATAAACAACAAACAAATGGGGCATTACAAGTACGCAGCCATGGACAATGTGGCATGCGAGGAACTATCGGTTGAATTCTTTACCACATTTGTACCACAAGACAACGGCAAGTCTTTCACTTTCTGGATGAAAGGTAAAGAATACAAGGTTGATAACAAGGTGATGCATGAGGTCTTTGGTTTCCGCACGATGGGGTCTCGCCAAGTACCCGGTGATTTTGACGTAAACAAGAATTGGGCCGTTCTCTCTCCATGCCACAAATTCAAAGTAAAGGGCCCATCAAATGGGCTAATCAAAGATGTGGCCATTGCAGTGGTGCATAAATTTCTGTGCTACAATGTTTTTGGCAAGAAAGACTCCAACAAGGTTAGCGAGAAAGAAGTTTACCTCTTGTCGGCAATGTGTGCAAAGAAGCCCATATGCATTACTGCATTTGTTAAAGAGACACTCCGGGATACAAAAATCTTCGCCAACCGCCCTCCGAGATTGGCCAATGTCGTCACCGCGCTCGCTAAGCACTTCAAAGTTCAAATTGATGAAGTGCCGCTTCAACCGAAGAAGATCGTGTTGTGGGATTTGACGAAAGCCGAGCTCGTTTCAAACAGCACCACGATCATTGATTACAAATTTCGAGGTTGCTACAAGGCATATATGGCAGAGCTGAAAAAATCGTCCGAAGTAGGCAGTTCCTCTCAGCCACCACCTGATACTGAGGACGAGGCTGAGGACGAAGAAACACAGACCAACCCGATGGACTACTTCCTCCCTCCACCAGTTGACGCGGGCGCTCCGGACGCGCGATCACAACAAGCCCCCGCTTGGTTCGATAACTTCATTGCACATAATGATAGACGTTGGGAAGAGCACAACAAGAGGCTCGATACCTTCATTGAGCATAATGATAGGCGTTGGGAGGAGCACAACAAGAGGCTCGATGAACATTGGACCCAATGGGAGTCTCGGCAATTTGATCAGTGGAAACAATGGGGCGACCAGTTCAAGCAATGGGACGTTCGCTTGAGTTCAGACAGCAGCCTACCCTACCCTCCACCTCTATCTCCACCTCCACCTCCACCATCGGATGCAACAGATGCACAGTGACAGTGCGTTGTTTTTAGGCAAAGACTTTTATTCCAGACTTCATAATTATCAGTTTTATCTTTTGGATTTGGTTTGACTTATGGATTTGGTTTGTCTTTTTTCGATTTGTATTTTCTTATGGATTTGGATTGTCTTTTGGATTCGACATTTGGATTTTCACTTTATTTTTTCTATTGCAATGTGGATTTGATTCATGATTTGGTTTGTGTTTAGATCGCAAAATAACCATAACGAATGTACATTGGTTATTGCATACATCATAACGAATGTAAATTCGTTATGGTTATTTTTCAATCAAATACAACGATTCTTTATGATCATTCCATTTCTAAAAAAAAAACAAGGATCGTTATTTCTCAAAATGAGTTTCGTCGTGACCTAAAATCGAAAAAAAAATTAAAGAAAAAATAAAAAAATAAAAAACGCCCGCGACAGCCTGATCGTCGCACCCGGGACAGCCGTCGCGAGCTTCTGCAGCTTGATATTTCCTGTCGCGGGCGTGACAATCACCGCGGGCGCGACAATGAAGGGGACAGAACCATTGCCAGGATGTCGCGGGCGCGACTGGCGCCGCGGGCGCGACACTGAAGGGGCAGAACCCTTGCCAGGATGTCGCGGGCGTGACTGGCGCCGCCGGCGCGACACTGAAAGGGACAGAACCCTTGCCAGGATGTTGCTAGCGCGACGACCGCCTCGGGCGCGACACGGAAGGGGACAGAACCCTTGCCAGGATGTCGTGGGCGTGACGATCTCCGCGGCCGCGACTCTGGATTTTATATACTTTTTTTTTAAACAATTAAAAAATACATTAGTACAAGGTTCATCGGCTTAATTCCGGGATCTCAGCATCGAACTCCTTCAATCGGGTTGCGAAGGGCTGATAAAATGCTATTATAAAGAAGGTACATTCATTATGTAATGTATTATTTTATCTACAGGACTGAAATTGTAGCTATAACAATGTACTACCTCTATTATATAATGCATTATACCGTGACTACAGTCATTCCAAAATTTCTATAATATCAGTTCAAGAAATACATTAGGTGAATTAAATGCCGGTAATACATTAGGAAAATACGTGAAATAACAATACACCAGTCAAAAAACAACTTAAAAACTTAACAACTCTTTTCATTGCACTGAAAAACACATAAAAAATAATACAACAGTCAAAATGTGATATCCAAAACATCCCTACAAGCCATTGAATATTCAACTCCTAAAACAAACTAAGGATCAAAATGCTGTGCAAAAATTTCAGCTGCTAGTTTGATACGCCAAGAGGGAATAAATTTTTGCTCTACGCCTTTAACATCCTTCCCAGCATGCAAAAACTCGATGAACTTGATTGTAAACGTCCCACAGTCAAACCTGTAATATAAATGTACAATATCTATTAGTTTACCAAGTTTGATAATACACTTATAATCATGATATGATGAAAATATATGTTATACATACCCATTTGCTTGGCTAGGACATGGTAATCGTTTCAAATCAAATTTTTCTGCACTGTAGGTAGCATTCAACATCCTCATTAGCATAGGTACGACAACTCGAATGGGCTTCAATTCCGTTTCAAATTGTTGCTTCCGCATGACACTCGTTGAACTATCATATGCGTCAATGCATCTTTTGGAGAGATCAATATCGAGTGCTACCCAATGATCATTATTCTCAGTGCAAAAGGGAACATACAATCTTGTACAACTAGTCCACGACTTTGCATGAGTGGGTAATTTCCCTTCGGCGTAGTTAACTAATGCCTTTGGAAAATTTGTCCTATCAAAGCTTTCAACTTTTGACGCGTCTTTAAAGAACATTCTCACATAAGAGACGAGATGCGGGTCAAAGATGACACAATCTTGTCTAAACAAGAGAGGGTACTCTATAGCCCGACCTCTCATGTGAAAAAGGGCTGCATCTACATGCTAAGAGTATATAATGTTTATTAGATTGCTAAATGTCATGTTTAGAGAGTAAAATATCGAAAAAAAAAAAATTTCAATACTTTACCTCACTACAAAGCCATTTATCATCCAGAAGGTCATTAAAAATTTTTTTCCCTACGCTACCGCTACCCCAAGCTACGTCAATTTCATCAATACATAAAAAAAAGTAAATTAAACAAAGACAGACAACCTTATATATTAGAATGAGTAGCCCACAATTAACTTAACACAAATACATACCTTTCAGGGGAGTTCGCCAACCACCGCCTTAAATCCTTAAGTTTAGCTTCATCCAGTGTCCTATCAGGGTCGTACTCCGTCACATTTGGAATTTTTTGTCTTTTTCCGGGATTCCTCCACGGAGTAAGTAGGACGGCGGCCTTTCTTTTCTTCCGGTGCCCTTTTCCCTTAGGAGACTCGGGTGCATCATCTTCATCGGTTTCTTCGATCTCCATAGGTCGTTCTTGGAACATTGTTGATGACGGTTCGGTCACAACACCCACAATAGGCAAGAAAACAATCAATACTCATTTATTAGAAAGAATAAACTATCAAATTACGTATAATCACAATTACATTTTACATACCGGTATCGAATCCATGTTCATTCTTCTTTGGTGAGACAGCCTCATCAGAAAATTTGTCTTCGACCAAGACAACTTTATCTTTTGCCCTCATTTCCAAGCCAATATATCTTTGTAAAAAAAAATAATACAATAACTTGTTCTATTTATTTTTTTAATACTCGAGTAATAACATTAATATGATGCATCTATTTTAAAAGAATACCTTCAACACAATCTACTGTTCGAGCGGTCTCCGTATGAACATTTGTCCCGTCATAAGTAGCACGGGTAGATGAAATATCTTTTGATTGAAAAACTAAATCTTTTATTCGCTCAAAAAACTTGTCCATCTTTATTTCCATTCGCTCAGAAAACTTGTCCATCTTCATTTCCATTTGCTTAGAAAATAATCTCATCTCATCCTTCACAACCTCACTGACTATAGCTGAAATCTTTTCAGCACCAAAAACTTGCGGTTGTGGTGGATCAGACTGAGATGCATCATTTTTATCTTCTTCCTCTTCCTCGTCTTCCTCATCATCTCCATCCTCATTTTCTTCTTTTTCTTCTTCTTCTTCTTCTTCTTCCTCATCTTCAGGGACAATACGAAATTCCTTCAAGTATAGAGTTTGAACTCATCCCTTGAAGGTTGTAATGTTCATCTAACTTCAACCTCATTATAGTATAATTAGTTTTTTCAAAACTATAAGAATAAATAAGATGAATTATCCATAACAAAAATTACCTCTGACGTGTTGAAAAACGTACTAAGTTGCTCGCTTCGCCACTGTTTTTTCATTTTCCAAGACAAAATTCTCGGACGTCTGGCACCCCCACCACAAGTTTCAGCAAATTTTCTTCCAACCTCAGGCAGTGCCTCAAATGCCCAAACCTACTTAGCAAACAACCAAAAAAAAAGTAAGAATACAACTAACATAAATAAATAAAAAAAGAGCATAAATATATGTTTATATGAAAAATACCATGATGGCTAGGGGAAATCCATGCAAAGAATACTTCATCTCTTTATTTTTTTTAATATCAAACCTCTTCCGCTTGAACAACTTTACGGTGTACTCGTATGACAAGTTCCGCCAAGGATAGCTATTGAACTCATCCAAATTTTCAACGAGATGAAACCATTTTTCATCCACAAGAGTCCAACACTCGTTAGAAAAAACCAAATGCTCCAGGACCGTGAGAAGCCCCAATTTGTATATCAAATCTGCATCTTTCTCCTTCTTTACCAAATCATCAAATTTATTGAGCAAGTCTTTCTTTGTTAGCTTCCCTCGCTTCCCTTTGAATAAATGCAAAAGCGAACTACTTCTTTCCGGGACCTCATATGATGCCACATCATGCACAATCTTGAATCCGCTTACAAGAGAAAATTCTTGTAACCCGAATCTAGCTTTTTTTTCTCCAAATTTGAACCACACGGCGTCTTTTTCGTTCTCGGATGATTTCAAGGTCCTTTGAAGAAGGTGGTGGATTATTTGAGACGCCAATTTCAAATTGGAAATGTGCACTAGTGGCCGGAAGCATGATTTCACAAATAGAGCTTTATGTACATCATCTAGATTCTTAAATACATGATCGACAACCTTGAGGTCGCACCTATTGGTCACGACTCCTGAGCATGTCGAAGGTATATCGAACGCTAACTCCATTTCCGTTCCTAAAAGAAGAGAAGAAAGACAACTCATTTAAAGAAAACTCATCAGAAAGACAACTCATTTTATTTATATTAATATAGATAAAATTTTTATACCTATATTTATGTCTTGTTATAGGAAGAAAAATAGTTTTACTTAATTTGTTCAATATATATTACTCAACTACATATTTCAGTGTATAAATTGTTTTCATGTTTAATTTTTTATTATTAAAAAAATGATAGAGTTACTCCTTTTTTAGTCTGTAATTGCTAGCCCTTTTAACTTAGATCGTTTTTACTCTTGCAAAATTGTTAGTGCGAGCCTATTTAACATCTCTAGTTAGGTGAATAAAAATATAATAACAAAATTGCATACTTCATTGAAATATAAAGACTGAAAAATCCCTCAAGTTATTGTAGACTAGTGAAGCTAAAAATTCATTGGCACAATCTTATCACACACCTAAACATATGAAATCTGAACTTTGGAGTAAATTATTAGATACTAATTAAACAATCACTAATTAATATGAAGGATAAGATACATACACATAATTTAGATAAAGATTGTGCAAAGTGAAATTACTATTTAGATGAGTGACAATTTTGCAGATCGAATACAACTATAACGATTCTACCTTCATGCTGAGCATTTCGACGCTATAATGAGTTTAAAATATCATCCTAATGTCATATATAACGAAGATAGAATCGTTAACACGTCATTCCATCGAAATAACCATAACGAGAGTACATTCGTTATGGTTATATTTCCATCCCGGAAGATTAATACACCTATACCAGTTACAATTTAAGTGATTTTTAATGGTTCCAAGTATACAACAACTAGCATAGCAAGTATTTCATCAAACACATAGAGTGCACAAATTACTATCTTACTTCATTAACTCAATCCTACAAACATTTCATCAAACACATAGAGTGCACAAATTATCATCTTCAATTCCATCAAAACTAGCAAAATTAGATGAATTCACATAGAACAATCAATCTTGCTCCACCAATATCAAACGACCAAACAAAGAAAAATTGACAAAAATCGAAAAAATTTGTACCGGGATTGACGAGAGAGAGTTCTATAGTGATTTTCCGCGAAAAATTGCTGAAGAAAATGCAGAGAGCGAGAGGGATGACGAGTAAAAGAAAGGCAGAAGAAAGAGAGCGAGAGAGAGATGGGAGAAAGAAGTTGCAGAAGAAAGAAAATGAGGAAGAAAGAAAAATTTATTCAAAAATTGTAAAGAGGGTATATTAGTAATTGACATTTTAATTTGATTATTTATTAAATTTTATTGTCAAATTTGGGTCAAGGGTCATTTAAACAAATTGTTATGTAGGATGGGTTACTTGAGCCAATTCCCACCTTCCTCTTCCTACGACAACAAATTTCCGGGTGGTTTATTTAAAAGGGATGGTCAAAGGATATTTTATTTAAATGACCCTATCAGTAAGTTTTTTGTGCAAATGACCCTCAATTAAATAAAACGTAAATAAATAAATGAAATATCTAAAATAGCCTTAGATGTTTAATGACTATATTAACCCTTCTTCTATTTTGTTACCAACTTTGTAATAAAAAAAAAAAAAAAAAAATCTGATCGCGGCATTTTGGAACTCTGCTCGTCTCTCGTCTCATCTCTCTCGCTCTGCTCCTCTCTCTCGCTCCATCCTCTCTTCTCTTGAAAAGGTGAGAACAAAATATGATGATTATACATAAACTTTGGATTACATATTGCAAAAGAAATGTGGTGATGGTGGAAGATCAACAATTAAAGCATGTTAGGGTTTGTTCTTATTTTAGAGATAAAGCATTTTGGTTCATATTTTATGATTAATAAACATGTTGGTTTCATATTTATCATGGTTTTGTGGCATTGAGGTTTTTTTTTTAATTTTTTTGTACATAACGAATGTACAGTCGTTATGTAGTTTCATAACGAATGTACATTCGTTATCTGAAGAAAAAGTCATAACGAATGTAGATTTGTTATCAAATTATTTCATAGCGAATGTAGATCCGTTATTTGATGTTTATTTCATATGACATATCCCATTGTTTTAACGAATGTAGAAATGTGGTGAGGCTCGAAGAAAATCAACTACTAAACCTCGCCAAATTCGTAAATGTAGTAGGTGTTCCAAAGTCGGCCATAATCGTGGAAGGTGTCCAAAGATTAACCTCAATGAAGCAACTTGAAGTTATATTTTGATTAGTGTATTGCTTTGGACTTATAGGTTTTTAATCTTTTTGTATAGTATTTTGACTCAGCCATATAGTGTTTGACATTTTTGTTTGTTGTTTTTGATGTGTTCTTCAATTCATTAAAGTGAGTTGCTAAAGCTTGAAATTATATTTTGTCTTGTGTTTAATTTTTTATGTGTATCTAATGTAGTGATTGTTGAAAATATTAAGGGTAATTGATTCGCCTAATGTACTTATTGAACAATTGTTATAGGAAATTTTGAAACAAACGACTATAGTCTCGTTTTATAGTATTATATAGTAGTATTACATTAAAAAAGGCTAAAAATATAAGTATAACGAAAGTACAGTCGTTATCAAGTATGAAATAACGAAAGTACCTTCGTTATCGCTATCGCGGGCATGACAACTATCACGGGCGCGACACTGAAGCTACAGATCGGTCGGACAGAGAGCTTCCCAGATTGTCGCGGGCGCGACGTGTATCGCGGTCGCGACACTCTGATGTTATTTCTGGACAGAAAGTTGTCCAGTATGTCGTGGGCGCAACAAGCCTCGCGGGCACGACAGTTGCGACCATCGCTGGCGCGATACATGTCACGGTCGCGACACCAAATATGGACCTGCAGAAGCTCGCAACAGCCAGTCGCGGGCGCGACACGCTGGCTGTCGCGGGCGTTTTTATAATATTTTGTTTAAGTCGCGACGAAACTCATTTTGTGAAATAATGATACTTGTTTCCTTTTGTAAATGGATAGATCATGAAGAATCGTTGTATTTTATCAAAAAATAGCATTAACGAATGTACATTTGTTATGATGTATGAAATAATGAATGTAATATCTTTGTAAATTCGTTATTTTAACTTAAAAATGACTGAAATTAGACCTATAACGAATTTAATATATTTATAACGTATTATATGTCGATTGCACGACCGTTTAAGGTGGATATGGTTGAAGAAAAACCATAACGAATGTACATTCGAAAATGAACTATAACGAATGTACATTCGTTATGGTGAAAATCGTAATGAAAGTGATCCCGTTTCGGTTTTTTTGATGATCGAACGTGTTAAACATTGTATCTTGGTCATATATCACCTTTGAACGATGGTTTGTACTCGTTAGAGCGTGGANTGCTAGCTATTAAAGCTTGAATGCAAAAATGACCTATTGTTAATTATGTAATTAATTGGTGTTAATATATATATATATATATATATATATATATGTATATATAGGGTCGCGCTCACATGAGAATGGTGATTAGTGAAAGAAATAAGAATAAAATCGTAGCCATTGGATCGCACGATCCAACAACATATAAAAAAGAAAAAAATATACCTTCATTAAGGGTATTATAGTAATTTTCCATACTACACTCAAACAGGTGAGCACCACTCCTAAATTAAAAAATTTGCCACTAACCGCACACACACTCTCTCTCTCTCACACACACGCAGTTGACGATGATGAACAACCCCGTCACCGGTCGCCTAATTCCCGGCGACGTCACGACTGACCGACGGGTTAGTCGTCGCCACACCTCCGGTAGTCCGCCGTGCCGCGGTACATGTCAGAGCTCCGATCCGCTGCCTCCATTAAACCTCAACCACAAATCTCGGACAAAATCCGAAAACCGGTTGCCGTCAGGAGAATTGCATCAGCTGTCGTGGAGGTCGCAGTCACGTGCACACGTCGCCACCGCTGGTCCATGGTCCGGAGCTCCATCGCCTTCGTTTTTCATCCATCTCTATCGACGGCCAATTTCATCCACCCCGCTGTAAGTTGGCACCGGAGCTCAGGTCGTGGCAGGAGTAGCTCCGGGAGGAACGACCGAGGCCGCTGAACACGTCGACGTCAGATGTCGGCCGGAGATAAAATTGTATCTTGGTCATATATTACCTTTGAACGATGGTTTGGACCCGTTAGAGCGTGGAAATACTCATAACGAAATGAAAATATTCATAACTATACTTGTCTTTTTTTTTGTTTTTTTGTTCTTGAAAAATGGATGGATCATCTAGAATCATTGTACATCCCTTATTTTACATGTAAAAATGAGTAAAATTGAACCCACAACGTGTGTAATATCTTTATAATGTATTATATATCGAGTTTTAGGTGTTTTTGATCGAAAATGAACCATAACGAATGTATATTCGTTATGGTGAAAATCGTAACGAAAGTGATCCTGTTTTGGTTTTTTTTTTATGGAATGACGTGTAAAACATTGTTCTTGGTTATATATCACCTTTGAGCGATTTTTATGGAATCACGTGTAAAACATTATTTTTGCTCATATATCACCTTTTAACGATAGTTTGGACCAGTCAGAGCGTCGAAATACTCATGACGAAACTCTTTTTGAAATAACGGTTTTTTATTGTGTCGCGACCGCGACGGTCGTCGCGCCCGCGACGTCCTGAGAGGCAGTCTGTCCACTCGTGTGTCGCGCCCGGGAGATTTTCCGCGCCCGCGACGTCCTGGGAGGCAGTCTGTCCGCGCGGGCACGACACTGGGGCCTGTTCTTGGTCGGACAGAGAAGGTTGCCAGGAAGTCGCGGCCGCGACAAGCAAGTTTTATTTTTTTTTTTCCACAATAACGAATGTACATTCGTTATTTCATACAAAATAACGATTGTACAATCGTTATATTGAAACGACTGTATGTCGCTGTCGCGACATGTGTCGCGGGCGCGACACTGGGCCTTGTTCTTAGTCGAACAGAGAAGGTTGCCAGGACGTCGCGTGAGCGACAAGAAAGTTTTATTTTTTTTTTCAAAATAACAAATGTACATTCGTTATTTCATAAAAAATAACAACTGTACATTCGTTATTTTTTAAACGACTTGTAATCGGTTCCTCGACTCATTTTCGGGAGCTCGGCATCGAACCCCTTCGTTATTTATTACATTAAAACTTCTCGTTACAGTAATATTTTTAACCATTTTTATAAAATACTATTATAACCACTGCATTGGGAAGTACGTAAAAAATACAACTTCAAAAATCGACCACCCGCATCATTGCATTGAAAAACACATGAAATATAATACAAAACTGTATTATCCAAAAGATCCCTACAATCCGTTACATATTGAATGTTTAAAACAAACTATGGATCAAAATGAGCACCAAATATTTCAGCCGCTAGTTTTACACGCCAAGCACTAATCCGAGATTGATCTACGCCTTCAACATTCTTCCCAGCACGCAAAAGCGAACTGTTATTTTGGGGACCTCGTACGCATTTTCATTATCCGCCGCAATCTTAAATCCGGTTACAAGACTAAATTCTTATAACCCGAATCTAGCTTCGTTTTCCCCAAATCTGAACCACACGACATCTTTGTCATTTTCAGACACTTTCAATGTTCTACGAAGTACTTGGTGGACTATTTGCGAGGACAATATGAGCTCGGGAATATTTACTAGTGGCCGGAAGCAAGACTCTACAAATCGATCTTTATGTGCTTTGTCTAGGTTGTCAAATACTTCACTGACAACTTTGAGGTTGCACCGATTGGTCACGACTGCTTTGCTTTTGGAAGGTATATCAAACGCATATTCCTTTTTGGTTCCTAAAAACAGAAAAGAAAGACAACATAAGTCATAATAGATCAAACAAGCAATAAGTACTACACTAGACTTAAATATATCAAACAAGGAGCTTAAATTAGATATATAATGTCGTTTCCAAAATTACTATAACAATTGTTGTAAAGTACTCTCATTATTGGTTTTAATTTAATACATAAGAATGTAGGGCTGGTATCGGTTCGGTAACCGAACCGATAAGAGAAAACTGATACCGAACCGATATGTTCGGTAACACTAAAATGCAAATCAAAACCGAACCGATTAGAAGTCGGTAACCGATTTTGGTTACCAAAAACCGAACCCTTCTAACAGGTTTGCAATTGTTAAAATGCCAAGCAAATGAATTGAATCTCTTCTTTTCGTTGTTTGTAAATGAATTGAGTTCGTCGACAGTGTGATGTTGATTTTAGAATGAATTGAGTTGATATTCAAATTAGTGACAGTAATAAACATATATCTGTAAAATAAATTAAACAACACAATTAGTCTAAACCATAAGAATTCAACAGCAGAGTGAGGATGAGGGGGCAAGGGGTGTAGAAAGCATCATCTCAAACTTGACATAATCTGCCTGATTGCACCAATTTTTCAAGCAGTGCCCTTGAATTTGGCATCATATTCGTAAGGTTTCAAGCAGCGCCATTAAAGCAGACCTTTTCTAACAAATCCAACCACACCCCTGTTAATTAAATGTTCATTTATGTAAGAATGGCCAAAAGTGGTGTTTGATATTTTGGTAACTTTAGCTTCAGCAAAAAATTGTGGACATCCACTTTGGTAAATAATTCACCAATCCTGCAACTACAATGAGATGCACAAATATTTTCATTTATTCTGATAATTTTTTTTTTAATCCTTATCGGTTCGATTTGGTTTTACCGAACCCTTATGGATTCAAAACCGATACCGAACCAATAGTGATTCGGTAACCGATTAAAAATGTACATTCGTTATTTCATACACATAACAAATGAATGTACATTCGTTACTTCATACACCATAACAAATGAATCTTCATTATAGTTATAGTTTTTATCTCGGTCAATTAAATACACCTATACATTCACAATTGATTTCTCTCTTTTCACTGAATACGACCGTACACCACAAGGCATATCTGCTTATGTTTATATGAAACAAGTTATATCGTGTCCTAGATGTCTGGTGATATTAATGTAGGAAATTTCCTTGTGAGCAAAGATCCTCCACATTGTCCAATTTTGCTAGATTTTGGGCTCACTAAGGGGCTGTCATCTTCTATGAAACAAGATTTAGCAAAAATGTTTCTAAAATGAAGGTAGTATATGCTAAATTTTGGGCTCACTAAGGGGCTGTCATCTTCTAAAATGTTTCTATGAAACTCCAATTTTGTTATATTCATTCGAGGAATTCATTCAAAAAGAGGATTCGTAATGTGTGGATTTTAATCTTCACTCATTAGTTCTTACTCCCATCAGCAGCTTACATAGAAATCACATAACACAATCAAAATCTTGTTCCATGAATATCAAAGGCCCAAACACATAGAAATTAATTAAAAAAAACGAAAAAAAAAATTTGTACCCTAGAAAAAATTCTTACCGAAATTGACGACGAGAGAGAGGTCTATAGTGATAGTGCGCGAGAGAAGCAGGTCGAATGAAAAAAAGAAGAGAGGGCGAGATGCAGATTTCGAGAGAGGAGGTCGAGAGAGCGCCGGTCGCGACCTTGGGTGAGGAAGGAAGGGGAGCGTGAAAATTAGAAGAAGAATAAGAATCTATATAAATATAAAAAGGTTTGACATTTACCTGAAAAATTAACTGAAATCCCGCCAAAAAATTTCATAATTATTAAAATAAGTAATTTATTTTGAAAAAATTCAGAATATCCCGCCTAATTGTGTTTTGAATTTTTTTGGAAAAAATTAAAATCAAAACATTTAAAGGAAGATTTTTTTGGATACATAAATGGAAGTTGTAATGAATAATAAGTGGAATAAATCTCATTTACATCTATGCCTAAATTAGATTTAAATTTCCGCACAAGAAGCATTTGGCTTCCAATTTTGTTTTTCGTTATTTGTTTTTTTATTTTATTTNTTATGTAATATAAGACACACAGATAATGTATAGTTAACTTTATATGTCTCAAACTAATCTCAAATTACAATTGTACTCCTCACCGAAGACCAAAATCCCGTTGTTTAAATTAACATGCAAAAAATTCCTCACTATGATTGCACTTACAATAAGAAAAAGATGGAAGAACACTATAATCTATATGTATATACATATATAAAAACTTTTTTTTTTAAATCAAAAAATTTTAAAATTACTAAACTTGATAATTTTAAAACAATGTCTAAAAATTTTAAAATTACTAAACTTGGTAAAAAAAATTTTTGAAAAAAAATCGTAAAAACCCGCCAATGGAGCTTTAATTTCAAATTTAAAAAATACTTTTATTTTCTTTTAAGGTAATTTTAATTTATTATGGAAACAAATTTATCTATTAATTTCAATATATATAAAGATTCTTCCTTAATGTATATCACAACCGCAACATTCTATATCCATTGCAATTAATATCACTTAGCCGCAACATTTCATCTATGAAATTAACAATAGATATTTTAAGTAGTAAATAAATGATAATTAGTTACAACATTGATTTGATTAAATCCCATATTTGGGGAAATTCGAATTATATACATTAAAATCTATCTATATTAAAAAAATTATCTCAATTTATTACATGCTATATTAACCACCGTGTATATGCTACATCTTAATAAACTTGGTGGTTAATAAAATTTGCATAGAATAAATTTTGGTGGTTAATAAAATTCCGATTCTTCTAAATATGAATATCTAATATGATGGTTAATATAGAAACATCAAAATATTTTAATATCATAAAAATTGGTGGTTAATTTAAAAAATTGTCTTAATATGTGTTTTACGACAACAAATTTAAGGATAAAATAATAGTTGAGTATTATAATGAATAAACAGAGGGAGATTTTATTTTGGTATGAAATGTCAGGATTTAAATGATATGAAGTTTATTTAGTATTGATAGAAGTGTATTTATAAAATTTGAAAACAAAATAAGTGGTATGAATTTTTTTTGGTATGGGCATGAAAGTCAAATTTTAGGTTGATTTTTTATAAAATCAAAGCGATATGATTCCCAAATTTTAGCATATTCTCATAATAACTTGTCATAAGATATTGAAGATAACTCGAAAAATTGGTATGTATTTCTCATGAAAATAAGAGAAATCTTTGAACAAATGTTGGTTAATAAAATTTAAAATTTGTAACTTAATTCTAGATAATGAGTTGATAAATTTGAACAATAAGGTAAGCGACAACAAATCATAAAATTGCGAGACAATATATATATATATATATATATATATATATTATTGCGTAGTCCAATTTGGGTTCTAAATTTAAAAGTCAAATAAGTAATTATTCATACCTTACGGGTCAATATTATCTTGGACGTAAATGAAATAATCAATTATTTATAGTTTAATAAATTACTCAACTACTTAAATTTTTTATTTGGATAGTTTATACCAAAAATAAATTTATTTTAATTAATGAAACAATATATGTTTTATAATTATACTTATTATTCACATAAATTTTTAAATATATGATAAAGTTTTACCAAAATAATTATATTATGGTATTACATTGTAGTCAAATCAAATTTCTGAATAAACTTTTTAAAATGACACTTATTTTGAATAAATATAATGTAATTTATTATCAATTATGTGCACAGTACGGGTTGTGTTCTATAAATATAAATATTTTACGTAATTTTGCACAATTTAAATTTCATATAACATTTTCAACAAACTAATATAAGTAAATTGTTTTACATATTGATCTAATATTTTTAATTTATAAATATTATTTAATTGATATTATTAATTTATAAATATTAATTAAAATTTTTTACCCGTACATCGCACAGGATTCACACTAGTAAAAAGAAGAAAAGAAGAAAAAAAGATTTTTGTGTTAAGAGCATATTAGTAACTTCCTATTTAATATGATAGTTTATTAAGTTTTATTGTCAAATTTGGTCAAGGCTCATCCTAACCAATTTCCACCAAATTTCCCTTTCGTTCTTCAGCTCTTCAAGTGATGGCGGGTTAGAAGGCAGTCCATGAGGCACCACGTCGCGAGATTAGTCAAAGATGGACTCTACAAAGAAGCCATTGCCCTCTTCGCCCACAGCCACTCTAATTCACTCCCTCCCACAAAATTCACTTTCCCTTACATACTCAAAGCCTGCGCAAAGCTGAATGCGGCCTCCCATGGCCGAATGCTCCACGCCCACGTCCTCAAGTCCGGACTTACAGACAAGCATACTACCACCGACCTCACCAACATGTACATGAAACTCGGCCTGCTCCACTCTGCCGCCAAACTGTTCGACGAAATTCCTAACCCGGGACTTTCTATCCTTAACGTCCTCATTTCCGGGTTATCGCAAAACGGGCTTTTCCGGGAAAGCTTTAGGATCTTCAGAGAGTATAGCTTACCTAATCTAAGGCTTGATTCCGTCACGATTGCCAGCCTGGTATCCGCTTGTGTGAATGTGGTCAATGGGGTGCAGTTGCACTGTTTGGCGGTCAAGCTTGGTGTAGAAAGCAGTGCTTATTCTGCGACTTCTCTTGTGACCATGTATTTGAACTGTGGGGAGCTTGTCTGGGCCGGGAGGTTGTTTGGTTTGATAAGAAACAAGAATATGGTGTGTTACAATGCCTATCTTTCGGGCCTTGCTCAGAATGGGGTTTCCGAAATGGTGTTTTGCGTGTTTAACGAGATGCTGGGATTGTGGAGTGAAAAGCCAGATGTAATTACTATGATTTCTGTGCTCTCTGCTTGTGCCAACGGCAATAAGTGTTTAAAATTCGGGAGGCAGCTTCACGGGCTTATAATGAAACTTCAATTAACTTTTGACACAAAAATTGGGACTGCCCTCGTGGATATGTACTCGAAGTGTGGTTCTTGGCAGTGTGCATATGATGTGTTTATCGAATTGGGAAACAAAAGAAATTTGGTGACTTGGAATTCTATGATAGCAGGTTTGATGTTACACGATCAGTGTGAGAAGGCTGTTGCTCTTTTTATCGAGTTAGAGAGTGAGATAGTGCTGAAAGCTGACCCAGCAACGTGGAACTCAATGATTGGCGGCTTTTCTCAGCTGGGAAAAGCAGACGAAGCTTTTCTGTTCTTCAGGAAAATGCTCTCTAGCGGCATAAAACCGAACTTGCGGTGTGTAACTAGCTTGCTTTCAGCTTGCTCGTCTCTATCCGCGCAAAATTATGGGAAACAAATCCACGCATATGTTGCAAGAACAAATACCGTTGATGATGATTTTTTGGCTGCGGCCATAATCGACATGTATATGAAGTGCGGACTGCCTTCTTGGGCGCGTACATTTTTCGATATGTTTGATGAAAAACCTAAAGATCCAGCTTTTTGGAATGCAATGATTTCTGGATATGGAAAGCACGGGCTGATCGAATTTGCTTTCGAAATCTTCGGTCAAATGGTCCGAGAAAAAATAAAGCCGAATTCAGTAACTTTCAGTTGCCTTCTGTCGGCGTGCAGTCACGTGGAACGAGTCAACATGGGTTTCCAAATTTTCAGATTAATGATTGTGGAATTTGGTGTGAGTCCAAGTTCAAAGCATATGGGCATCTTGATTGATCTGCTCAGTCGTTCGGGAAAGCTAGATGAAGCCTTTGAGCTCCTTCAGGGGACGAGTGAGAATTCGGCTGCCATGATGGCTTCTCTGCTCGGTTATTCGGAGCTGCATTTGGATTCCAGGATAGGAGAAGAGGTGGCCCGGAGGATTCTAGAATTAGAGCCCGAAAATCCGGTTCCTTTTGTTGTTTTATCTAATATTTATGCGGGTCAAGATAGGTGGAAAGATGTGCATAGGATTCGGGAGTTGATGGACGAGAAGGGACTTAGGAAAGTCCCGGGCCTCAGTTCAGTAGAATTATAATGTAAAAAGGATTGATTGAGAAAATAAGCTGGTCTGAGGTTACTTTTTGGATGTCCGACTGTTGAAACGACATAAATGGCCTCATTAATAATTTTTGTGTGCTGCCATGGAAATTAAACGTGTCAACTGGGGGATAATGAAGTCCTAGACAGATTTTGTCCAGAAAGCAGTTTTTGTCCATCTCTGTGTGAACAGACAGTTGGCTGAATTTCGACATGGGTTGCATTTGGCATATTTTGCTTTTACTGAGAAAAAAAGGCTTTTTTTTTTTTTTTTTTAAAGGTGGGGCGCTAATAAAATGAGAACTCCAGATTTTGAAATTTATGATGGATTGGAGACGGGCACACATGCCTACTGGAGGTGATTTGCAATATATATTCCACATATATTTTGTCAAGAGTCTGCTACTTTGAGAGACTGGAGGACACTGCTCAAGGACAGGAGACATTTTCTTTACTCGGAGACGTATTTGACAGAATATCAATAGCTTTGAACTAAATATCAATGCTTTATATGTATAAACAGCTGGCCCTGAATTCGAGGCTCATTTTTATGTATCGTAATCGACTCTTCATAAACAATTTCTGAATTTAGCGGTGTAACGCCCCACTTTGAATAATGAAATTCTGGATTTTCAGAAAAATCAATTTAAATTTTTCAAAATTCATTTCAAACATTGGTGGCATTACTAATTTATTTCAAAATCTTTCTCATAACATGACATCGACTCATAACATATATAATCAATCATCAATCATCAAACTCCCAAAACGGATCTCATAAAATCATGAATCACCCAAGCCGGGTTTCTAAATCACCACAGTGTTCACGGGGCATCTCCCCAACATTATTTCAAATCGTCATAAAATTCAAAGTTCTCATAAATTCCAAGTTATAAAATCATAATATCATAATTCAGTTCATAATTAGCGGAAGCAACAGATAACAATCTGGTCATATAGACCGACCACCACTCGCTCCACTCCGCCGTCATGCCTGCCCTGCTCAACCTGAAATGTTAATTTCAGGTGGAGGTGAGCACATATAGAATTCGTGGTGCTCACCACTATGCAATAAACAATAATCATAATATAATACAGGTATGGTCACAACATGTAAACGAATCAATTAATTATCCCAATCTCCCATCATAAATCAGAAATCAAGACTCATGTGCACACTTACGCATAGACTACTGCCGGTAAAATACCGAATGTCCCTCGGGTCTTACAACGATGCCTAGCCAGTAGGAGTAAAACCACCCCGCCGGCCAAGGCCTCGCCTTGGTCTTACAACGGGGATCACCAACCAAGGGCCCGAGCCCTGGTCTTACGGCCCACCACAATATAAGGAGATTACCCATCGGGTACGTTCTATAGTTACGGGGATAACTGTTCGACGGCCGGTACAGCTCACATCGAAGACTACATGGTTCACATGCATACATTGATCATACCACACGTAAGGCAATAAAATTTATTGCATAGCAATTTTAAATAAAACTCACCTAGAAAATTGGGTAGAAAAAGCACACAAATAGTTCGGTAGGTCAGTAAGGCTCAACTCCTCAGACACCTACATTTTAAGAGAGATAATAATCAATAACTTATCTCACTACTCGGAATTAACATAAAAATCACACTTAATCAAAAAAATAATGATTAAAGGATTTTATCGAATTTTTCGTGGACTTGGAACTCTCAAATTTTTAAAAGAAAAGACTCGGAGACCAAAAATAAAGTCTCGGGACTTAAAGTAATTTTTTTCAAATTTTTCTCATTTTGAACATATTTTTAAAATTGAAATCGATATTAAAAACGGGCTTCCGGTGCACAAAATGGCCAAAAGGGGCCGCATTGGACCACCTGCCCAACCGCTGACCAAAGGCTGCCACGGACTGGGCCAAAAATAACACAGAAGTGGGCCTGGAGCACGAAAAGGGCCGCGGCTGAGCGAACTGGGCTAGAGTTTAAAAGGCCCAACGCACATAAGAGCTGGGAGCTCGCGGGCTTCAGATGGGCCGCTCGCAGGCCAGGTCGGAGGGGTGTACGGGCCGCGTGGCCCGAAGTTAAAGGACATTGGCTCGGCGAAAAAAAAAAAGGAGACTGGGCTGTTGGAGGTTTCGAACCCAAGACCTCGCACAAGAAAGTGACTGCAGGATACCACTGCACTACTTGCCGTGATTAAAAAGAAAACATGGACTTCTAAATATAAACAGCCTGCTGCAACGAGGAAGGGCTCGAAAAACGACGGATGCTGGCGATGATGAAGGGGTCGCCAGGCTTAATGGCTGCGAACAGAAAACTCGAACAGGGGCAACCGATATGGTTTCTTAGGGAAGACACAGGTGAACATCGATGCCTGCAAAAAGGGTTGCTCGAAAAAGCTCCCCGGAATCAATGGCAACCGGTGGCGAGGATGAACAATTTTTTTTTTTTTTGAAAAGAGAGCAGGTATGCGAGAGAGATAGAATCTGATGATTTGAAATATTCTGAGATGAGAACTCCTCGACCGAGTCTTATGGAGATTCGAGAGGTTGCCGTTCGATCTGGAGAGATTTTGGGGGAGATTTGTTGAAGAACGATTCAAGGAAATTGAACGTGCAGATAAGGTAAAATGGGCTAAAATAATCTTACTTCAATTTGGGCCAAAGCATAGTTGGGCTGAAACATTAATTTAAATTGGCTCAAAGGGATGAAATAGATGTTAATTGGGCCGAAAGAAATACAATACGATAACAAGAATTTCTGATAGATCCGATTGACGACGAATAATACATAGAATATAACGACTTATTATATTAATTAGACGAGAATATCCAATTAAATAATAATAAGTCTAAACAAAAAATGTCGAGCAAAAATACGATATAGACAATTAATTCAATTAATAATAATAATAATAATGCTAACTAATATTATTCAAAAAATCCAACATTCAAACGGGACGCTACAGTCTACCCACCTTAAAAGGAATTCCGTTCTCGGAATTCGAAAACAAAAGAAAACTAACATGCTAAAGGAAGTACAAAGGAAATCAAAACGCGAAGTTCGGGTATCGCCTCCTGATCTCGACCTTCTTTTCCCAAGTCATCTCAGACTCGTTGATATGGGATATTATATAGCTGAGGAATAGACCGGTTTGCATCATCGGCCGAGTAACCTCGAAGTGAAAAAAACCGGATTGGGGGAAGGATGATCGACCATAAGGAAGAAGATCGAGCAGAATAGCAGAACTGATCGAGGATCGACCAAAAGGGAGGAGATCGAGCACTCAATAGGTGAAGAGCAGTCTAGAGCGTGGCTTGAACGCGAGAAGGCGCGTGGATGACGTTAGAAGATCCCAACGGCCGGCGCAGAAAAATAATCTCCCTCAGCGCAGAGGGACACGTGGTGAGAATATATTGGTGCAGAGTTATAGTGGCGAAAACCACCCCTGACATCTCTGACACACACACACTATGTGTGTACGGACGGGCAGTACGGGCAGGACAGCTCACCAAAAGCTGGGCAGTTTCTAGGGCAGGTATCTCACTCCTATATATATGGGAGTGGGTCTTCTCTTGTAGCCTACGATTTATCCATTCTTTACTTTGAAAAATTGAACAAACACATACTGACTTAAGCATCGGAGGCTCTTCACCGGAAAACCCCTCCGGTGTGAGAGTCCTGTGCAGGAGCGCGGCGTTCTACCGGAAAGGAAGAAGGAGGCAAGCTGATTTGAAGCCGGTCGGAGTGTTTTGCGTTACCATTTGGCGCCGTCTGTGGGACTTTCGTTCGAAAAGTGGTGTGTTGAGATTTCTGAAGCTCGGTGGCTATGGCGGACGGAATTCCTAGGAGAGATTTACAAGGATCGTTCGACGATGCGTGGACGATGACAAGGCCGTTTGGAGAAGGCCTTTCTCTGGGCTTCTCCGGACCCTTGCGTACACCGGTGTCTCCGATGCCCGTTCCCCAAGGTGTAGGAGTCACGCCGGTGCAACCAGAGGCTGATGTGGGCTCAAGCCGGGCCCAGGAGATTTGTACAGCTCAAGGAGCGGCGACCCCAACGCCGCTGCAACCAGATCTGGCCGTGACGCTGCAGCAAGGAGTGGCGGTGCAACGAGCAGTACCATCGCCAGTGGAGGAGCCGCGCCCCGGTCAGCAGGTGGTGATGACCAGGCAGGAGATGCAGCAAATGGTGGCGAACGCGGCGGCACAAGCAGTTCAGCAGGTCACTCAAAGTCTTTCGCGAGTGGCTGCTGGACTAACGATGGTGGATGAGGACGTATCTAGCTATGGAGGAGAGGGAGCCCCGCGAGATCGTGAGGTGGAGAGGCTCGCAGAGCAAGTGAGACAGTTGCAGGCTAAGATGGATGGTCGACCTGAAAGGCATGCTCGAGGACATCCGTTCTCGAGGGATATATTGGCTGCACCGCTACCTGCGAATTTTAGAGACATGAGTTTGATGTTCGACGGGACCACTGACCCGTCGAGGCATGTAAGGGCGTTTGAGAATTTAGCTGTGTTACATGGTTATTCTGATTCTGTTAGCTGCAGGGCATTCTTGTCGACCTTGAGGGGAGGTGCACTTGCCCTCATGGGTCGATCAAGGACTTTGACGATTTCGCGAAAAAGCTGATGACCCAGTATGCGAGTGCGGTGGCACAGGAAAAAACCTATTTGACGTTGATGGCCATGAGGCAAGGGAAGAAAGAATCGTTGCGCAAGTATGTTGCGCGATACAACCAAACGTGTTTGGAGATCCCCACGGCCTCGGACGAGGTGAAGGCCGGGGGGTTGATACGGAGTTTGCGAGCAGGGCCCTGTCGAACATCTTTAGCCAAAACCCCTGCTCGTACCTATGATGACGTGAGAAAAGGTGTAAGAAGTATATTAACTTGGAAAAGACGGAGGCGGAGTTCGCTAAGTTGGAGGAGTTGGCCAGGCTGGAGCTGAAGAAAGGAAAGGCGAGCTCACCTCGAAAGGCGTCACCAGGTAGGAGATAGCCCAGGAGAGAGGGGCGTGGCAGAGTTGATCGAGGGCGAGAGGACCGGTGGAAAGATCGACCAGTGTTTGGAGGGAGCGGTTCCATAACTTTACGCCCCTTAATGCGAAAATGGGGGAGGTGCTGGTGGCTATTGAGAAGAAGATCGAGAATAAGGACGTGACGTGGCCGAAGTCGAGGCGTGAGGGCCCAACGCAACCTAGGTCGGGGAAGTATTGTCGTTTTCATAAGGATTATGGGCATACGATGGAGAAGTGCAGGCACCTCAAGGATGAGATCGAGCGCCTTATTAGGGCAGGATATCTTAAGGAGTTCGTATATGAGGACAAGGCGAAGGGGAAGGGCAAAGGAAGGTGTCGGGAGGATTTAGTGGAGTGGAGTGATCGAGATGATGATGATGAGGACAATCCTCGAGGAGGGAGAGATGATCGAGGAGGCAAACGGAGACGAGGGAGTCAAGATCGAGGGCATGAGAATCATGGACCAGTGAGGAGAGGGACGATTTATATGATCTCGGGGGGCCCGACTGACGGAGACTCGAACAATGCAAGGAAGGGCCATGTTCGAGCCATGAAGAGAAAGAGAGAGGAGGTGGGGATCACTGCTCGAATGCCGGAGATAAGTTTTCGAGCAGAAGACGCAGTGGGAGTGGTGTTACCCCACAATGACGCGTTGGTGATAACAGCGGAGGTCGCGGGCTTTGATGTAAAGAGGGTATTCATTGATACGGGGAGCTCGGTGGATGTAATGTTTTATGATTGTTTTGTGCAGATAAACAAAGAACTCAACCTCGAGCTGAAACCGGTGACCACGGCCTTGTATGGATTTAATGGAGGCGAGGTGATGCCGATGGGAGAGGTGAGCCTATCTGTCGCCTTGGGGCATGGGATAACGAGGAAGGTGAGAATGGTGAGGTTTGTGGTCGTTGGAGCAGAGTCATCATACAATATCATAATGGAAGGACCAGTTTGAATGCATTCCAGGCGGTCGTGTCGACGTACTATATGACGATCAAATATCCAGTGTGTGAAAACGTTGGTGAGGTCGTAGGAGATCAGCTTACCTCGAGGAGTTGTTATCAAACCACGGTGAGCAACAATAAACAGCTCTCGAGAAAGCGGATGAAGATCAAGGAGGGGATGACAAATCGACCAGGAGGCTCGAGGTCGAAGGAGGAAAGGGAGAAGGCAGATAAAGGGAAGGAGAGAGTAGAGATGCAGCCCGGAGGGGAGATTGAGGAGGTTCAGATGGTAGAAGGTTGTGAGGAGAGGAAGTTCCGGATAGGAAAAGAGATTGAGGAGCCCATAAGGTCGAAATTGATTGAATTGATCAGGGAGTTCGCAGATGTTTTCGCGTATACGGCTGAGGAGTTGACAGGGATAAAAGCGGAGGTGATCGAACACCGTTTGAATATTGACCTAACAGTGAGGCCGGTGAAGCAAAAGAGGAGACACCATGGTGCGAAAATGGACAAGGTGATCGAGCAGGAGGTTGAGAAGTTGTTGAAGGCGGGCCATGTTAAGGAGATCCAGTTTCCCGAATGGTTGTCGAATACGGCGATGGTGTCTTAAGTCTGGAGGGAACTGGAGGATGTGTATTGATTTTCGTGACTTAAATAAGGCGTGTCCGAAAGATTTGTATCCACTGCCCAAGATCGACCAGCTGGTCGACTCCACAGCAGGTTGTGAACTGCTCAGCCTTATGGATGCGTCCCAGGGGCATCACCAAATCCCTCTGACCCAGGAGGACAGGAAGAGGGTGAACTTTGTTACGAGCAGAGGCACTTATTGTTATGTGGTGATGCCTTTTGGTTTGAAAAACGCGGGGGCAACGTATCAGCGGTTGGCCGATAAGATTTTCAAGGAACAGCTCGGGAGGAATATGGAGGTGTATGTGAATGATATGCTAGTGAAGAGTAAGGTGGAGGCCGATCATGTGAATGACTTGAAGGAAACGTTCTTGACTTTGAGAAGATATGGTATGAAATTGAACCCTGCTAAGTGCTCTTTTGGGGTGAAGTCGGGAAAGTTCTTGGGGTATATGGTGACGAAGAGGGGGATCGAGGTCAACCCAGAGAAAGTGAGGGCAGTGATCGAGATTAAACCACCTACAAAAGTGAAGGAGGTGCAGATCTTGACGGGCAGGATTGCGGGATTGAGCCGTTTCATATCTAAGGTGTTGGAGAAGAGTGGTCCTTTGTTTCGAACGTTGAGAAAGAGCTCCAAGTTCCAGTGGACGGAGGAGGCCCAGAGAGCATTTGAGGAATTACAAAAGGTGTTAGCCAATTTGCCTCTATTGGCTAAGCCGCTTCCGGGGGAGGACTTGGTGCTATACATATCGATCGGAGGGATGGCGGTGAGCTCGGTTTTGTTGAGGGAAGAAGGTGTGCAATTTCCAATCTATTACGTAAGCAAGGTAATGCAAGGGGCGAATAGGAGGTATTCTGAGATCGAGAAGTGTGCTTTAGCGGTGGTGGTGACGGCGAGGGAGTTGCGGCCGTACTTTTTGAGCCATAAGGTGAAGGTAAGGACAGTAATGCTAAAGAGCCAACAGTCAATGGGACAGCCAATGAACTTGCACTCCATTGTAAG